AACCAACCACAGATTGAAAATATTTAAAAAAAGAAGGATGGTTTTGTCCATACTGAACATGTACAGACTATTTATCTTGTCATAATTATCCTAATAATACAGTATAACAACTATTTACATAGCATTTGTACTGTATTGGATAAGTAATCTAGAGATGATTTAAAATACATGAGAGTATATACATAAGTTATATGCAACTACCATATGAGGGACTTGAGCATCTAAGAATTTTGGTATCCACAAACGCACTCTAAAAAGAATCCCCTATGGCTACTAAGGGATAACCTTATGTATATCCCATTGATTTTTGATAGAGTTGTAAAAGCAATTCAACAGAAAAGGATAATCTTTTCACAAATGGTGCTGAAAGCACTGGACATTCATGTGTGAAAACATTAACCCTCAAGCTAAACAGCACATCTTATAGAAAAAAACTTAGAACAGATCACAGAACTAAATGTAAAATAGAAAACCTTTAAAACTTTTGGGGAAAGCAAAGGAGAAAATATTCACAATCTAGAATTAGGCAAAGAGTACTTTAACATAATACCAAAACCACAGCTCTATAAGGAAAAAAAAAATGATCATCTGGATTCTGTCAAAAGGTTTTACTCTACAAAAGATATCATCAAGAGAATGAAAAGACAGGATACATACGAGGAAACAATGCCTGCAAAGCACACAAAGGTCTTGGATCCAGAATACATGATGAATTCTCAAAACTTACAGAAAGAAAACAAACAGCCCAATTAAAAAATGATCAAAAGACTTGGACATACGCTTCCCCAAAGATTATACACTGGGTGGCAAATAAGCGCATAAAAAGATGCTCAACATTAGCCATTTGGGAAATGCAAATTAAAACTATGGATGTGATACCACTCTACTCCTATTACAATAATTAATATTCAAAAATGCTAACCGTAAGTGCTGACAGGGATGTGGAGCAACTGGGATGGTCATACATAGAAATGTAAAATGGTGCAACCACTCGGAATAACAGCTTGTCAGTTTCTCATGAAGGTGGACATACACTTACCATATGACCCAGCAATCCCATTCCTAGGTGTTTAACCTAGAGACAGGAAACCTATGATTACATAAAACCTGTTCATCAATGTTTATAGGAACTCTACTCATAATCGCCCCAAACTGGAAGAATAACCCAGATATCCTTCAATGGGGGAGTGGGTAAACAAGCTAAAACATCCATACAATAAAAAACAGCTCGGCAATAAAAAGGAACAAATAATTGACATATGCAACAACTTGGATAAACCTCAGAGATGTACTGTTCAGTCAAAGAAGTCAGCTACAATGGGCTACATATTGTATACTTCCATTTATATGGCATCCCTGAAAATACAAAACTCTAACGATCAGTGGTTGCTAGAGGCTGGGAGATGGGAGGGTGTGACTACAATGGGATACATCATGAGGCAGTTTTTTTGGGGGTGACAGACTGATCTATATCCTGACTATGGTGGTGGTTATATGAATCTTTATATGTCTTAAACTTTGTGAAACTGTACACCAGAAAAGTCAAGTCTGCAGTCTGTTAACTTTAAATATTAAAAATAAAAGCTAATATAACAAACGTTCAATACAAAATCATTCATATGGATGGACAACCAGAATCTTTACTTGGATGCTTGTCACATTGTACCATAATTGTGTCATAGGCAACACAACTGGGTCTGTTCCTGGTGTGTTCATTTCTCCAGGGCAGAAACCTTAGTTTCCTCGTCTCTGCATCTCCAATATCCCACAGAGTATCTAGTAACTGAAGTAAACACTCAATAATGTTTGTTGAAAGATGAAAGCAATGAATAAATTAGGTGTAAATGAAACACATTATCTCATTTTGATGGGGAAGAGCAGGAGGACAACAGGACCTAATAAGAGGTAGCTATTAAAGGCTAAGAGAGTTCTAGAAAGATACATTCAGCAATTTCATACTTTTGGCATTAGCTGAATAGGAGTTGCATTTGCAGCATCTAGCATGACTATTCATGATTTATGAAATGTAGTGCGTACATGTGACTTCCAATGAGGACTTTACTTCATTATGAAGCCACTCAATTATAAAGAATTTATTAATTCATTAAGTTACCCTGTACAAGATTTGTGGAGAAATATTCTATCTGTTCTATTTTGTCGTATTGGATGAGACCACTAAATAATATTGATTAAAATTCATCAATTCATATGTTGTCATATATGATCAAAACATAAAATTTCATTTTTCTTTGAATAAACCGGAAATTTTGCATATGCACAAACATTAGTAGTATGTTGCAATTCCTAATAAGTCATGCATTTCATTGTTACCACCATGTACTCCATCCCTGGAGAAAAAGTCATCTGAAAGCTAAAGAGAAAAAAAAGATTACTTCAAGCTGCTTCAAGGAAGCAACAATTGCTTCAAGAGCAGCATAAAGAGAGGGTTCTCCCAAAGAAAAAAATCATCTGTAAAAAAAGAGTTGTTCTGTGCAGAGAATGGCTGATCAGATAGCAATCCCCCTCCCCAAAACATGTATAGATTATTTCACTTCACGATACTGGGGCTTCTAACTTTCACAGGACCAAAGCAATGTTACCATGGTTTTTTCAACATTGCTAAAATTAGCAGACACTAGCGTGAGATAAATCAAGGCTGTCATCACTGCCATAACATAAAAAACACAAAATGCACATGATGTACTTGAACTTTTCTCTACTTCCTTGCTATATTTCATAAAGTTTTATTATCTGATTTTTTTTTTTTTTTGAGACGGAGTTTCGCTCTTGTTACCCAGGCTGGAGTGCAATGGCGCGATCTTGGCTCACCGCAACCTCCACCTCCTGGGTTCAGGCAATTCTCCTGCCTCAGCCTCCTGAGTAGCTGGGACTACAGGCACGTGCCACCATGCCCAGCTAATTTTTTGTAGTTTTAGTAGAGACGGGGTTTCACCGTGTTGACCAGGATGGTCTCGATCTCTTGACCTCGTGATCCACCCGCCTCGGCCTCCCAAAGTTATTATCTGATTTTTAAAATAATATCCTGATTTAATGTTTATCATACAAATGTTTTATCTATAGGTAGAAAATCTATGCCATGTAATATTGAATATATATCATATTTAGATATAAAATATTTTCAAATTAACATTCAAGTTTTAAAGTAACCACAACTTAGCGCCTGCTGCGCCCTACAGAAGCACGCATACCGATTTACTTTACTGTACGTAGCGCACACATTTGTGAAATAAGAGATAAACAGTCCAATTTAAGATATATGACTAAAGTGTAAATACAACCAACACTTAACACATGAAAGAAACAAGATAATTATTACAGGCCTTTCTGCTGTTAACATTCTCAATTTTTTGGTCACGATGAATGGAGCCACTAAAAATAATGATTACTTGAACCCAAATGTATTGAACTTGCCTATATAGAATATAGAATTCCACAATGTTCAAATTGGTAATTGAATGTCATTTTCTTATTGATTCTTTGACTGCTCAAGTGTAAGCTCCAGGAAGGTAGCATCAGACACACAGCATAAAATAGTGCCTGACGCAGAACAAGAGCAAAATAAAGGTTTTCGAATAAATACATATTTTAATGAATAAATAAATTAGTATCCATAAGATGAGAGTTGAAAGTAAGATTATATAACTGAACTTTAGGAATAGCTTTGTCATACATCTCACCAGATGTTAGCTATTGTACAATGCTATTTAGACATGTATTCTTTTACGCATTCATTCCAGCAAGAAAGCCAATCAACCACAGTTTGACTTCAGAATACTTCATGGTAAAATCTGTGAAGAGAGCTGGGAACACAAGATTTATACAAAGATATTGCCAATGATCTCAAATAGCCTAAGCCTAGTGTGCAAAATACACAGACACAGAGTTAATGTAATTAACACCAAATTAAACCTTGAGAACTGCAATAGATACATGAATGATAAACTCCAATGAGGGTGCAATTAACTCTGACGGCAAGAATCAAAGAAGAATTCTTCGGAAAGATAATCGTTTAAGTGGGCCTTGAGAAGTATACAGGATCCCGATAGACGAAAGGCAGCAGACTATAAATTGTTAAGAACATGAACTTTGAAGCCAGACTGCCTGAGTTTGAATCCCACTCCATGATTTATTAACTGTGTGACCTTGGGCAAGTTACTTAACCTCTCTGTCTATCAGATTCCTCATGCATAGAACAGAGATAATTATACCACATATGGCCAAGAGTTGTTGGGAGAATAAATTAATTAATATGTAAAGCATTTCTAACAGTCCCTGACACCTAATAAATGCTAGACAAGCATATGTGATATGGAAAAAACAAAGGACAAAGCAGAGTCGACAGCACAAAATAATTCTGAGCTGAAATGCTAAAAACATAATTTTCATTTTCACTATAAAAAAAAATACCCTGGACTACATTAAGCAAAAACTCCTAAATATACATAAAAACACATTTTGCTGTCTCAATGACAGTTTGGGGTCATTGAACTGTTGTAACTATATCTTCCGAAGCAGAAATATGCACATACACACACTCAAAACTTCACGCATAATCTTAAGGTTCCATCCAGAAATTGAGGGCTGCAGGCACTTCCTGGAGCTCATCTCTGAGCCATAAGTAACGACATGGTCTAATGGTATCATGCACTTTGCATGAAAACCAATGGTTAGTATGGAATTCTACACAACCCCAGGCAACCATGTGCCCATGGTTGTATCTCATCTAAAAATTAAAGTGTCTCATCTAAAGAATCTCATCTAAAAATTGCACTGTTAACTTAGATAGAGGATGGAAGCACATAGAACATAACAAACATCACAGCTCCATTTCAAATCAAAGAGGGCAACAGGAAGCAATTCTGGTAAGGTGGCTTCCTTATCTGAGGAACAGACCTGTGAAGGCAAGGGGCACAGGTAGTCCAACCCTGAGGAGACGAGGTTGGGGAGAAAATGTAGAAACAGAACGGCACTGTACTCACATGGTGAAGGAGCCAGGGGGAGCAGACACTCGCCGCAGGTCCGCAGTTTGCACCTGATGAATACTAGAGGCAGCAGGGAATGAGCAGCGAAGACAGAGTCAGCGACAGCGTGGACAGACAAGGAACAAGCCAGGGGAGAGAAAGAGAGACACACAAAATTTAAACAGAAATTAAATGAGCGCATCACCAAACAGCAAAGGAAAGGAAAAGGAAAACCAAGCCAGCCACAGAAATAATCCATAAAAAGCCGGTGATAGCAATGAAGCCAACAGGACACATGGAAGGCACTGGTTCTAGGCAAGTCACAGACTGGAGCAGGGCCAGGCTGGGGTTGTTGCAGGGGGGCAGGTTGGGGGCGTCAGGGGTGATGACCATGGCCTCCCTTGCTCAGGCCCATTAGGACACCCAAGGAGAGAAGGCACGCACTTACATATTGAGTGGTAGGCTGGCATGGTAAACTCATCTTTGTAAAGATTCAAGGTCAATTTAACCCTTTCATCACACAGCTTCAGGATTCCCCAGGCTTTATAGGTATACTCATCAAAAGACAATCATCTTAAAGAGAGTGTCTCAACAAAAACTTCAACTTCCTTCAATTAAACAACAAAGGATTTTTAGAAATTCCAAAGGTAATATCAAGAAAGTCTAATTTTATCACCGTAATGCTGTCATTACACTCACATTCTGGGTAGAAAAAAATAACACCATAGATTACTCCCTTTTCTCCCTTCTTTTATAAAGGAGTCTCTTTCATAATGGAGTTTGTCTTTTCTAGCTATTACAAAAGACAAAATGTATAATTTAAGAAACTAAACTCAAAATGTTCTGTTGATATTACATAATTATTCTCTCCACTCTCTTATTTAAAAAGTTTCATTATAACTGCAATAGACCTAGCCCCCCCGCATCTCTCTGTGCTGTGGGATACATAACTTCTTACACAAAGTCACCCATGAGTTAACTCCAGCCCGTCTCTGTCTGTCTTATCTTCTAAGGACTATCATTTCCAACCAATAATACTTCTCAGCAGCCTGTGATGATGGATTCCAATTGCTCAGCTCAAAGTCTGCTGACTAGAAATCTGGCCATTGGATAAAATGATCATCTTTAACAATGTAAGCCAAATTACTAGAGAACTAAGGATAACATTATCTATCAATAGATAGTTCATTGAAGACCTCTCTAAACACCAGAGAAATTTTAACTTTCTGATCTCCTTCAATGGCACCTTTCAAATAAAGAATATAATCCAGTGTATTAGCTATCATGTTACTGGTATACGAATATGAACCTAGATAAATCTCCTTATTACTTTTCAATGGGAAGGTATTTACTGGAGTTCATACTTTGTGTAGATTCCTATGCCATGATAAAATGACATATGCTCCCATACAAACGAGGAGATTCTGAACACAGTGGGACCTGGCTTTTTAGTTTGTATAGAGTAACCGCAAATGGGATTATACACCAAGAAATATTTTTTAGAAAACATTATTTTTTCCTTTTGCATAAATGAAGATCTAGTGGCATTATGAAGGCCTACTGGTTAACTATTTCTCATGGAAATTCCTTCTATCCATGTGGACCATAGCTTGAAATTATTAAATATGTATCTTTCACTTATAAGACAATGTGATCAAAACACATGGGATATTATTTTTATATTCATGAAATTTTAGATTTATGTTATGTTAGAAAGCAATTTCTGAGTAACATGGCAGAGATAGCATTATAGAATGGATTCATGTGTGAGTCGCTGATGCAACATTCACGTGTGTCTCCTGTGTCTCAGGAGCTATGACGGACACTGGGGATCCTAAGAGGAAAATCCTGGGGCCCCCCCACAGAGCAGAGAAGGTAGGAGTAAGTAAATGATTACACTATTTTTAGTAAGTGGTGTAATGGAAATAGCCAAGAGCACCACTGAAGCATGTAAAGGTACATCTGACAGCTAGAAGTATACAGAAAAGGCTTCTTGGGAAAAGTAGCATTTCATTAGGGCCCTAAGCTGTGAGCAAGAGTTAGCAGAAGATAAAGAGGTGCAGAGGCCAATGAAAGAAGAGGACCTGAGAGCAAAACCAGGGTGATGTAGGAGACAGGCTACTGTTCCAGGAATCGCAATCTTCTCTGGAACAAAAAGCAATGAGAATGAAGAAGGCAGTGATCAAAAAGGTCTGCGAAGCTAAGGCATACAGGCTTGAGATCCTTTGATCAATCTACCTGGTCTATCAGAAAAGAGATTATGTGAAGGCAGCAAGGGTGGGAACAAGAAAACAGTCAGAAGCATAATTTAGTAATGCTGCCGAGAGGTAACTCATACAACCTTTGAACTCTGGCCGCTTTACCAGTAGAGAGGATGGAGGGGATGAGAGTTCAAGACTGGGGAAATAAATAGAAAACAGAGTTCAAAGAATGTGGTAGCTAGCCTGATGGATGTTGATGTGGTTTGGATGTGTGTCCCATCCAAATCTCATGTTGAAATGTAATCCCTGATGTTGTATGTGGGGCCTGGTCAGAAGTGTTTGGCTCATAAGGGCAGATCCCTCATGAACACCTGGTGCCCTTCTTGAGGTAACAAGGGAACTCTCACTCTGAGTTCATGTGAGAACCAGTTGTTTAAATGAGTATGGTGCCTTCCCCCTGCCGTTGCTCTCTCTCTCTCTCACCATGTGATATGCCAGCTCTGCATTCACCTTCTGCCATGACTGTAAACTTCCTGAAGCCTCACCAGAAGCCAAGCAGATGCTTGTCCCATGGTTGTACAGCCTATAGAACTGTGAACCAAATAAAACTCTTTTCTTTATAAATTACCAATCCTTGGCTGGGCAGTGACTCACACCTGTAATCCCAGCATTTTGGAAGGCTGAGGCAGGCAGATCACTTGAGCCCAGAACTTTGAGACCAGCATGGGCAACATGGCGAAACCCTGCCTCTACCAAAAAGTAGCTGGCCATGGTGGCACATACCTGTAATCTAAGCTACTCGTGAAGCTGAGGCAGGAGAACCACTTGAACCCAGGAGGCGGAGTTTGCAGAGAGCCGAAATGACACCATGGCATTCCAGCCTGGGCAAAGTGCGAGATTCTGTCTCAATAAACAAATAAATATAAATAAATAAATTACCCAGCCTCAGGTATTTCTTCACAGCAATGCAAAAATGGACCAACACAGATGTGTAGAAGTAGAGGTGACTGAGAGAACCCCAGAAGCCAGCAACAGGATGAATGAGTGATGATAGTTTCATGTGTACAGCTGTGAACGGAATGGGCTCACTGGATGGTGGGGTGGAAAAGCAAAGGAAATGACGTTAATGAGTCAAGTTTCTAGCATGCAGTTTGAGGTTACTATGAAACACTGAAGTAAAAATCTCAACTAACATATTTGGATATGAGTCTCCAGTTTTTAGAAGAAAAGACTGGCCGAAGACACGGATCAGAGATACAGTCTCGCAGAGAAAGGGCAGAAGCACCAGGAGCACTGGCATCTAAATGGAAAGGGAATAGCTGTTAAGGCAGCCACAGCACTGAAGTCTCCAATATTCAGTTAACATGCTGTATGAAAGGAGCCTAATTTTTAAAGATGAATTAAACAGCCACCTTCTTATTAGGAACACACACACATACACACATGCAAACATACACACACCCACGCAAACATACACACACATGTGCAAACAGACACAGACACACAGACACACACACACACACACACACACACACAGAGGATTTTTAAACTAAAAATTCTAAAGATACTTTTGACTAGTTCTCCTCGAGTAAAGAAAAAAGAAGACAGGCAGAAAAAGGAAGGCAGGAAATAAGGGAAATGTCTTTCAAGTTTCTCTTTCTTCATTGGATAAAACAGTGCCCTTCACACAATTGATGGCCAAAGCAGAGAAAGGCTTGAAGGGCTCAGAAGGTTGAGGGAAACTTATAGAAAAGTCTTAAAGGAAAGGCTGACCTTGACCTTGAAACTCCACTTGGAAATCTAGTGGAAGACACAGATTTCAAAACAAGGTTTTCTGGTAAAATAGAAAGAAATATTTAATCGTAGAAATTAAATAAGATCAAGATGAGAGCAATTAAGGTTTAGTGAGCAAATATTACATGGTGACTGGGTTTTTTTGCGTTCTTTTGAAAACGTGCTACCGTATTGATTTTCTGAAAATATAGTACTGAATAATTTTTCACAAGTAGTAATAAAGATTTTTGTTATTTTTAAGTCTTATAATTTTAATTAATAAAATAAAAATTATACTATTACCCCCATTTCTCATAAGTCTTTCAGAGGGCATGGGGTGGCTTGGGTGCAGGTACCACTGTCCCCTGGTAGAAAGTAAGTAACAATTTTTGGGTCTTTTGTTGTTGTTATTGTTTGTCTCACACTGTTGCCCAGGCTGGAGCGCAGTGGTGAGATCTTCGCTCCCTGCAACCTCTGCCTTGTGGGTCCAAGAGATTCTCGTGCCTCAGCCTCCTGAGTAGCTGGGATTATAGGTGCATGCCACCACACCTGGCTAATTTTTTGTATTTATAGTAGAGAAGGGGTTTTGCCATGTTCACCAAGCTGGTCTTAAACTCCTAATCTCAAGCAGTCTGCCCATCTTGGCCTCCCAAAGTGCTGGGATGGCAGATGTGAGCCACCGCACCCGGCCAGTAACAGTATTTTTAAGTTGAGGCTGCTTCTTGAACACCTGCACAGCTAAATGCTACAAGAAGTGCCATCATATAACATGTGTTCCATGAATATAAATAAAAAACAATTCTTTTTATGTGCTTCTATAGGTGAAGAAAGCCAAATGAATTCTTAACAATATGGTTACTGAGCAAATACCAATTCTCAACACAAAGGTAAAAGCTGTTTAAATACCTGAAAATCATTTCATGTGGAATATGGTTATTAAATACAGAAGCAGCAGGCCTAACTAAGACTGTGGGCTCTCTGCCTATGTATACAGTCAAAACTTTTAGCTTCTGCATATCTTCTTAACAAACTAACTACAAGTGACCCAACAACATAGGCTATAGCACAGTTTCAGAGATGGTTTTTCACTTCGAATTTCATAGATTTCTAGCAAACCAATGGTCCATGGCTTAACTCTAACATTTCTAGGGGGAATTTGATGACCTATATACAACTACTGACATCCAATGTTTTTTAATATATAAACTCAGCAATTGTGTATTTAACCTAAGAGAAGGTAAAGGCAGGGAGCGCAGGCAGCGTGAGGAATGAGCAAGGAGTTTTACTAAATGCAAAATGTAAACAAAGAAAGACATAACTAAAAGATCACTTTCCTAGATCTTGAAAATGATCTAGGAAAAATTCTGCGGAAGTCCAGTCTGAGAAGGAAGGGAGGAAGAAAGGGAGAAAGGGAGGAAGGGAGGGAGGGAGGGAGGGAGGAGGGGAGGGAGGAAGGGGGACAGGGGAGAAGGGGGAAAGGGAGGAAGGAAGGAAGGAGGGAAGGGGGAGGAGGGAAGGGGGAGGAAGAGAGGGAGGAAGAGAGAGAGGGAGGAAAAGAGAGAGGGAGGAAAAGGGGGAGGGAAGGAGAGAGGGATGGAGCGAACGAGGGAGAGAAAAGACAGACAGAATCTTTCACCCCAGCTCCAAACTGAGTCCCAGATGCCAAAAGCTGGAGCACTCTGAGAGCATTATCTAATGCTATTCTTCAACATGTGTCGCCACAGAGAGAGAGAAGTAACTGTTGGTAGTGAGTGAGGGTAACTGTGTTGCTGGCTGTTCTAGGCACATCTGCATACTGTTATATTGACTCAAGAAATGTATGGCAAAGCATGCCCTTGCTTTTCAGGCACCACAAGGAAGCCAGCCACTCAGTGCAAATAGGTAACCATGCATTACAGGCCACAAACAGGAGGAGCACCTTTGAGAGTCCCTCACTGTGACAGAGAATGACGAAAGGCTAAGCCCTGAAATGGCCTTAGGCATACAGCGTGATATACAGGAAATACTCAAAAGATGCCAAAAATTCCCTTCACTCTCCAGCCCCTTCTCCAACCCCAAACAAACACTTATTCACTAGTTGGAGTGAGACACACTATAAAATGAATATGTATTCTTAATATCTAGTCAATATTACCTTACCTCAAGTCAGTTTATTAACATGCCCCAGAAAGGAAAACTTCAGGAGGGATGTCATGTGTGTAGAGGTAGAAATAGTGGGTCAGGCTAAGTCTGGACAATAGGATACTGCCCAGAGAGCCAACACTGAATTGAAGCAAAAGAGTATGGAGGACCCCAAAATGGGAACATCAGGAAGGGAACAATTCGCTGGCAGCCAGAAAGAGATGCAATGGGGATAGAGGCAAACCACTCAGCAGCTCTGCCCACCACCAGCTACTGGAGAAACCCACAGTCTTCAAGCGACCTGGGTCAAGAACAGGCTAACTGTGTGCTTCCCTAAAACAAAACAAACAAAAACGCATTTACCTGAACACACTTTACCACCCTAGGATCCCTCTCAATGATTTTCTGCTAGTTCAAGTAAATACACTCTCAAGTGGTCAGTGAAGAGGAATCATCTGTCTCACGTACTAATAACTCCTAAAAAAAGGATGTGGAACTGTACAATAAACAGGGAGAAAAAAAAAAAAAAACCTATATGTTCCCATGAGAGAAACCAAGGAACTGCTGAGTCTCCTGGACGTTTCTCCTCTTCCCAACACAGTGAGGTTCCCAGACCATGCACATGCTCTGCGCTCTCCTCTCCAAGGTCTTCATGTTAAGCAAGGTAGGCCATGAGCAGACTCACTCATTGAGTAAAGGCATGGATGTTCTCCTCTTGCTCTTCTGTACCATGTTGGCCTGATTCCTCAGAGAGATCCGAATCATAGCTGGGGCCAACCTACAGGGCTCCCCATCTACTTGCATGGGGATGGATTTGTAAGTCAGAAGCATGACTTCTCGACACTGGTGTAGCCTCTCTCCGTGGCCCCCAACTTGCAGGGCTGCCTATAAAAAAAAAGAGTCAAAGAGGAGCAAGGAGTTAGTTCTTATTACTTAAGAAAGTTGGAGGTCAGGTGCAGTGGCTCATGCCTGTAATCTTAGCATTTTTGGAGGCCAAGACGGGCAGATCACCTGAGGTCAGGAATTCGAGAGCAGCCTGGCCAACATGGTGAAAACTCATCTCTACTAAATATACAAAAAAGTTAGCTGGGCATGGTAGCAGGTGCCTGTAGTCCCAGCTACTCGGGAGACTGAGGCAGGAGAATCGCTTGAACCTGTGAGGTGGAGATTGTGGTGAACTGAGATCTCACCACTCTACTCCAGCTTGTGCTAGATCTAATAAGAGAATTTAACAAAGTTACAAGACAAAGCCAATAAACAAATATATATATGTGCATATGTATATAGCCACACATATAGTTATTTCTACATACTAACAATAAATGTAAAATTTAAATTACCATTTAAATTAGCATAAAAATATCAACTACCTAGAAATAAATTTAACAAAAGTTGTGCAAAAACCTGAAAATTGCACTGAAGCTACAAAACATTGTTGATGGAAATTAAACATCTAAATAAATGGAGAAATATATCACATTCATGTTTGTGGATTGGAACATTCATATTGTTAATATTCTAATTTTTCCCAAAATTATCTACAACTTAAATTCAATTCCAATTAAAATTCTAATTTTTTACAGATAATAACAGATTCTAAAACTTATATGTAAATGCCAAAAGACCTAGAATAATTAAAACACTGTTAGAACAACAAAGTGATTCATATTACCAGACTGAAGACTTACCGTACAATTAATTAAGACTGTGATATTGGCAATAAAGATAAACAAATCAATGGAACAGGATAGAATCTAGGTACCAAGCAAAAGCACCAAGGCAATTTTACAGAAAAGGAAAGTTTATTCCACAAATAGTGCTGGAAAAAAAAACTAGATAACTGCATCTTTTACGAATGAATATGTATCTTATACAATACACAAAAATTAATTTGAGCTGAATCACGTATTTACACATAAAAGCTAAAATTATAAATCTTCAAGAAGAAAACATAGGAGAATGGCCTCCCAATCTTTCTGGAAATAATCAAAGATTTCTTTGGAAGTACACAAAAAGCTCTAACACAAATTAATCCCTTTTCATAATATTGGATGTTTAAAACTTATGATCAAAGCAAACACTAAAAACACAAAAAGGAAAAGTATAAACCAAAAGAACATATTTTTAATGAATAAATCTGTCGGAAGACTTGTATCCAGAATAAATCTCTTCTATTTCAACAATAAAAGATAAATAGGCCATTAAAATATGCAAAAAACACAGTTAACTTCTTTTTTAAAAAGACAAAAAGGTAAAAATAAAAATAAACTCTTCCTTACTCTCAAATGTTGTTGTTTGGAAGGACATAATTAACTGTTCCAGAATTTTATCTGAATAAAACATATATAATTCCTTAATTTCCTTCCAGGGATGGAAGTTTATTCTTTTCCCTGACTGTTTTATCAAGCATAATATTTAAACATCATTTATGTCTCTATCCATTAACCCATTTTCAACACCTGCTGGGCATTTAAATCACTTCTCAGAGCACAAGGGCAGGGTGGTCGCATGGCACCTGGAATGCAGCCGGCTGGCCTTTGGTGACCCTGGCGTCTCAAGGGGCTCCAGCATCCCCCACCACCACAGTCATGGGGACTCAGGAACTCTGTCTAGTAAATCCCTTCTCATCCAGAAACTCTGTATACCACTCTTGGGCAAGTAAAGAGTATGAAATTTCTAAAAAGCAATTCTATAATTTTTATTAAGAGGCTTTAAAATGCTTATGTCATTGAATCAGTAATTTCCTTATGATTTGCCATAAGAAAATAATTTGAAATGTGAAGAGAGTTTTACAAACAATTAGGTTAATTACAGAATTATCTGCAATACAAAATATCAGAAACCTAAAAGCTTCATAAAGGAAATTTTGCATAAAAGAATAATTATTGCATAAATTAGGATACATGTATACAATAAAAAAGTAGGTAGCCATTTGTAGTATAGGTTTTCCTTAAAATATGGTTTCATGTATTTTTTAAAATGTAAAAAATTGTAACAGATATTTTTACTTTAGTTCTTATGTATATTATCAAAATAAACAAACATTTAATATTCCTTTTCTTCTTAAAACAAAGATATATGATAAGTGTAAAACTTCAACCCTGAGAATTTCTCCATGTACTTTTTGCTTACTGAATAACCTCTTGCTTTCCTAATTCATAACTATAAAGAAAGATGCACTTTTTAATTCCAATTAACAAAAAGAAAACTGGCCATGCTTTCTTTAAAGTTTACAAGACTGAAATCTTTGGATTTTATACTGAATGGCAAATTAGGTTCCCAATTCCTCTAAGTGAATAATGCTTTGAATTGTCTTGAGAAGTTTTAAATTACTTAGAAACAAGCTCAACATGAAAGGGCCTTCGAAACTATAATGGCAGAAAATTGTGGCAGAAATAAATACAAATTACAATGTCTGATTAAGGTCTTTGTAAACTCCAGAAAGGTAATCAGGTTACCCAGCACCCAGTCATCTTAATTAGTAGGAAAGCATTTCAACCAGTAAAATGAATTGAAGACTTCTGCTTTGAAATTTGCAATTACAAGATAAAGAGTCTAAAAGAAACAGTCTTTTTTCACATTCCAGTAATTCTATTTCAAAGCTCTCTTATTAAAGTGCCACTATGAATTTTCTACTTTTTGGATTTTACTTAAATCATAAGCAATGCACAAATATATTTATTGGTGTATTTCATGATTTTGAAAGTTTATAGCCTTTAATTACTTCACATACAACAATTTCTAAGAAAATAGTTTGTTTCTAAAAAGTTTGACCTACTAGTTATGTCTTTAATTGTATAGCAGCTATATTAAATATGCAAAAATATATACACATATACCCTAATAACTACATTCTTCTGTTTATGTAATAATCTTAAACAAATGTTTGAATTTTCAAATAATTTACCTTCTTAGAAATATAATCAATATACTAGTTCAATAAATGTACAGTTGAAGACTGCAAATTAGATTCTTTCATCCTGAATGAAAAAAACACAACACTGGACTACTATGTGAGTAGCAAGCAGTAAGATAAAATGTGTCTGAAAATAGAGAAATATATACCAGTATACATTTAGAGAGCATAGGATGTTCAAAACCATACAGCTTAAACTCCATTTAACTCTGCTTTTCTTAGATAGGATTCTCTATCTTGGAAGCAACTAAGTCACTGGAATCTGAGATTCAATCATGCATTTGATGCTAGCTGATGCTGTATATGGATTACCTTATTCACATGATGTAAAGAGAAAAAATAAGTTACATAATTTTAGTATTCCATTTCCTTTTGGCCAACTCCCATATGCTATTATTTCTCTTTTTACCACAAATGATAGGAGGAGAATAAAAAGATTTGGCAGAAGAACCCCTCCCTCTCCAAAACAATCTCTCCATCCTAGAAAGATCTCCTAAACTCTATATTTCAAATTGCCCACTTCTATATTTCTTTAGATGTCTTACAGAGATTTTGAATTTAAAACAGATAAAACAGTGTATTTCTTTTGAGATATTCTCTCTTTTATGTCTTCTATCTCATTTAATGCATTTATCCTTTACCCAGATGTCTACACTAGCCTCCTGGAATTTGAGTATACCCTTCCTTTTGTACCCTTCACGGTAAGTTACTATGTCCAAACAACTGTCTTGAATTCACTAGCCCCTTCTATCTTCATTGGTACTTTCTTACTTCAGGCTTGCAGGCCTTTTCTTTTTTCTTTTTCTTTCTTTCTTTGAGAAGGAGTTTCACTCCTGTTGTCCAGGCTAGATCTTGGCTCACTGCAACCTCCACCATCCAGGTTTAAGCGATTCTCCTGCCTCAGCCTACCAGGTATCTGGGATTACAGGCACCCACCACCATACCTGGCTAATTTTTTGTATTTTTAATAGAGATGGGGTTTCACCATGTTGGCCAGGCTGGTCTCAAACTCCTACCTCAGGTGATCTGCCCACCTCCGCCTCTCAAAGTGCTGGAATTACAGGCGATGAGCCACTGTGCTCAGCCAGGCTTTCTCATTTCTGCACCTGGACTCAGGTGCCAGCATTCTGGTTTGTCTACCTGCTTCCAGTTGTAAATTCTGGTTGTCTTCTACAATGTCATCCACATAACCTTTCTAAAGCACAAATCTAACCCTGTTTCACTCCATCTTTCAGCCTTCCTATTGACAGCTTAAAGAACTCTGTCTATGCTCTGTCCTTCTCCACATCCGCAGCTTCATTGACTCTGTGTCATCACTCGAAGCCACCATGGGAAACCTCTCCTAGGATACAGTGGTCTCTTAGGCTAATTCCCTGATGGTCATGTTCACTTGGCAATTCCACTCCCAGGGACTCTTCCTCCTCTGTGAAATTATTGCCGACATCCCCATTTTACAAAAACTGTTCTAATTTCAATTCTTTCCACTCTCACCCTGGTCTTTCTCTTAGAATTCACTACTTCAGATTATGATTGTTTACTCCTTTGTCCCCCTTGAAAACACCAAGCTACGAACACCCTGAGGGCAGGGCTTTTCTTTTGGTTCATTTCTCAACAGTTTTACCTGGCAGCATGCCACTTAGGGATGCAGTATTAGTGGATTCAGTAAGTATTCAATAAATGAGTGTGATTGACACTGAAGGAATGGAAGCAGAGAGACAGTTGAACCAAGTATTACCTTGAATTTTAAAAATTCCTATTAATTAGACATCATCACTAGCACTCAAATTTCCCTTACATTGCATAGACCTTTTATGACCCAGACTAAGAAAATACACAGTGTTACTTCCACTGTATTCAACCATCAAAGTAGTCACAAGCCCAAGCAAATACTAGAGGAAGCTAAATCCCAATCTTTCATGAGATTGTTGTTCAAAAACTGAAGACCGTTTAAAACCAGAGTCACCCTTGG